AAGGAATGGCCGCCATCAAAAAAATTATTAGGCTTAGCGGCCCTTAAACAACTTTTAAATTGTTGATAATTCTAAAATTATTGCAAACAGATTTATTAAAGGCATAAAAACCTTAACCGGAAGATAAGAACAACATAATTCAATCATTTTTAAAGCAAAAAATGTAAAATTTACAAACCTATAATAGTAAAGAAACTGAGATCACTGAGCCGGTAACAGAGTGGATATATATATAAATATATTTATATACGTTTGGCGCGGCCGATTGCAACCAAAATACGAGGTGCACATGTACATGTTATAGTAGTCCCATATACAAAATTCCAACGTTCTGAGGCTACTCATTTTTGAGTTATGCGAGATACGTACGTACATACGTTCGTACAGACATCACGAAAAATACTCTTCAGAATTAATTTTAAATCAGTTTTATAATTTTTTTGGAGGAAACGAGTCTTTTATTCTGTCCTTACGTACAGATATCGCGCAAAAACCGCGTTAAATTGCATTCGAAAGCGGTCAATGTGGATATTTTTGTTGAAATATACTGCCTGAAACTTTTCGCGATTGCAATACTTCCTTTTTATTTCGTACAAGGAAGTAAAAATATTAATTAAAAAAATCCGTAGCTCAAGATCCTTACCATTCTCTTACCAAAAACCCCTAATATATTGCTTGTAAATTATGTTTATTTGTGATAGTTCTTTTACAAGAAGAAACGCAATATTTCATTTAGCACTTTCCCATTTTTTAAATTCTTAACTTTATGATCAAAAATAATCTCTTGCCGCATAACTTAATGAGTAAGATTTGAATAAATGAAATTAATTACACCATTTTGGCAACACCAATTCGGATAATCTTCGCAAACAAGTAAAGCAGTTAAATAGAAGTTAAATAGTGGGATCGGCCTTCATCTGGATTAGATGGAAGGCGGATAGTTCTTGATGGAGCACTAAAGCGGGACACAGTAAATCCCCTGCGATTTCAGCGTCCATCCTTGTTGTTCATTGCCGCCATTCATGAAAATCCAGGATCGCTTCGGAAGAAAGCTATAAACGGGATAAGAAGTTTCATGGCCATTAAACAAGCTTCTGATATCCTTCCCTCAGCGATAAATGTAGAAGGGCCTCGGAAGCAAAGATAACGTCAAGAAAAATGTTGGACCAGCGTCCCGGTTTGCATATAATTCCCGGTCACTGTCTATAATGTAAACCTACAGATTCAGTGGACGAAATTGTACAGATAAATAAGCATACGTAATTAGGATACGTAATTTTATAGCTGAAAGTAAGTTGAAATTTGTGGGTGGTCGCAGTCGCAGAATAAGTTCAGAAATTTCATCAAAATTTCGCAACTGAGGATTTACATAATTTAAGTATGTAGAGTCATTAGGTTAATTGGAAGCAGACGAGATGAAAAATATGCAACCGCCTTCGCCGGGAATCGAGCCCCGAACCTCTGGAATACCGGCCCAGTGTGTTACCGTTACACCACGAAGGCACGCTAGGCAAGTGGAAGAAATACCTTATATACTCCCCTTTTTAAAGGGCGAATAGGGTTTTAGGGGACCTAGTCGCCAAATCCTGGGTGCGAAGAATCATCATCCACAACCCTTTTAGTTCGGGCGCCACTGTAGAACACGAACCACTACACCACGAAGGCGCGCAAGGAAAGCGGGAGAAATATCTTATAATGATACCCGAAATTTTTCGCAATTACAATACTTTCTTTACTTTGTACAAGAAAGTAAAAATCGGAAACATTTCAAATTTAGTTTAATAGGCACACGGTAATAACGGTCATATAGTGGTGTTTAATAATTTGTTATATGCCATATGTAGCCCTTAGCATTATTTTTTAGAGAAGTGGGGACCTTAACACATCCCTGCCGGTCATATCGCCCAGAAGCTTCGAAGGTTAACCTTTCGAAGGTTAAAGGTTCGTAAACACAGCAGGAAGTACTTTATCCGTCTCGACATCTAATGGCAATGATTACATATTAACTGTAAGTAAAACATACAAAAAAAAAAAAAAAAAAAAAAAAAAAAAAAAAAACACTGCGTTAAGTTACGAAGGATCATTTTTCACTCTTCCTAATGGCTTTCTGAAATATTTCGCTCAGTTTTGATCTCTATTTATCTTAGCGTTTTCAGCCTCGGATTCGGAAATTTTAGGGGACCTAGTCGCCAAATCCTGGGTGCGGAGAATCATCACCCACAACCCTTTTAGTTCGGGTGCCACTTGTAGAATCATTAGTTTAATTGGAAGCAGAAAAGATGAAAAATAGCAAACGCCTTCGCCGGGAATCGAACCACGGACTTCTGGATTACCGGCCCAGGGTGCTACCGTTACACCACGAAGGCACACTAGGAAAGTGGGAGAAATACCTTATAAGTATATCAGGAATTAACTCTAATACAAGTGACTAGTATGTACAGAGCTAAATGATACATAATTAAATTGAAGTTTTAAAAGCCAATGAAATCCTATCAAAAAGAACCTCCCCCCCGAAAAAAAAACCTTACAGGGTTCAGATTTTTAAAGGTCGCCCAAAAGGGTTTGTTAAGGTATTTGACGCTCTCCTTGTACTCGCAGTCTACTAAGTCTGCTGTTACAGTCACTTCTACTAACACCTCTTTTTTGTCTTTTTAGCTTTATAATTAAGCATCATTTTCTTCGCACTTACGCCATATACAATTCAACAGCAAAATTAAAAAAAAAAATAAATAAAAGCAGCATAGACAATTTTTACAATTCCCGATTACTCTTATATGTTTGTAAATTGTTCATTTTCTGCTTTAAAAATTATTGTATTAAGATGGTCTTAACTTCCGGTTAAGGTTTTAATGCCTTTAGGAAATCTGCAAGCAATATTTGTACAATTATCAACAATTTAAAAGCTATTCAAGTGCGGTGAAGCCTAATTTTTAAATATCATAGCGGATATATTTGTTTACATTTGAAACAGCAGAATAGTAGATTTGTTTCCAAACTAGAGAGACTAAGCTTTCATCAATAAAGATAACGCCTTCATTTATTATTGCGCATTCAATCATGCTTAATCCTTTCTGGAATTTTTTCGAGGAAATAAGCGTTTAAGATTTACTTCGTAATTTTTAATATATAGATATTTCGAGTTTTTATGGGAACTGAATTAATTGAATGAGAAATACTGAATTGTTTGTGAAAAACTGTTTCTTTTTTTGTTTTGTTTGCTTAATTTCTTTTATACATCGTTCTAGCTTTATTATAGTAATTCAGAAGTCAAACAACAAAAATCAGCGTTATACCTACAAAATTTTCACAGGACTAGTTTCGATGGTTTTACCGAACCATCATCTTCAGCTGCAAAACCGCAAATGAACCAGATAGGAAATAATGATTAGATAAGATAAGAAAGCCTGGACAAGAATAAGCAAGTGGCGCCATCTGTTGGCGAAACCAGAACTAAAACATAATTTCTCTAAAAGCCGAAGGCAAATTTGGATTGGAATTAGGATTGTTAACTAGAACAGAAAGATTTTTATGAATGTGAAATGCCTCTAGAAAATCCAGTTCTCCAATGGAAGATGTTTTTTGAATAATTTTGGCAGCAGAAAAACTGAAAGTGTGGTTTTCGGACCAACAATGTTGAGCAACAGAAGACTTCTGTGTTTCCTTTTTTCTAACATATGCCTCATGTTCCTTGACGCGAAATTTTAAGGCTCTCTTAGTTTGGCCAATTTAAATTAAACCACACTGGCAAGGAATCCTATAAATACCCCAGGAATTCATATCCGGAAGGGGGTCCTTGAGTATGGAACTCAGAATTTTATTGATGGGGAATAAACAACCCGAAAGTTAAATTTCTGCAAAATATGTGCAACTTTATAGCTAATTGATGGAAAGAAGGGAATGACAACAGAATTTTTATAATCTCCTAAAACAAGAGTGTGCCTTTTAGTGTGGTGAGATGAGAATTTTTTAACTGCTTGATTAATAATGTTGGGTGAAAAGCCCCTGTCAATAGCTATTGCTTTTAAATAATTTAGTTCTTCATCAAGGGCTAGTTTGGAGGAGCAAACTTGAAGAGCACGGAAAACATAGGAATAAAATGAAGCTAACTTTTGTTGTTTGACTTCTGAATTAGTATTTATTCGGCGTGTTATTGTGTCTTTATTATAGTATTTGAATAGAACATGTGGCAACGATTAGATAATTCTTCGAATGATATAAATTTTGTGCATTCTGAGTTATAAAATAAACGAAATGTAACGCTGTTAAGTGAATCTAGCGCCAGAATGTAGCTATGGTAAACAAATATATTGAATTTTAAAGAGTCCATTTATTCTATTATGGTTTATGCTCTATCGACAAAGTAGATTTAATTCAATCCGATAAGTTTAAATCAAATGCATGAAAAAATGCATATAATTTAGTATTTCGTACAAGGAAATCAGTTAGATTTTTTATTTAGTTTTACTTCTGGGATTATCTCTCGTAGTCTGAGAAATGTCCAAACAACCATATATTCAGTAATCCTTATCACGAATCATTAAAAATAAATAAAATGAGAGCTTCATATTTTTCCGAAAACAAAAATTCGAAGGAAAACATATTCCTGAGCATCATTGCTTCGTTATTTACAGTGTTTTACTTGAAAACAAAGAAGTTATATAAATGGAGACAAGTCGAACTTCCTCTGAAAGATGCCATACGATTTGTGCTTCGCAGCAAATGAAAACGAAAAATACACCGTTATCACAAACCAACATACCAATGTAATCTAAACATCCAACATACCAATGTACCTATTAACTTCAAACTAGTTTTTTTCTTCTTTAATTAAAAGGAAGAAACACTTTCAATCTAAAGAGTCCAATCAGCATATTTTCATATTCCTGAGAAAAATGGAATCTTTAAGAAATAAGAAAATAACACAGTAACACAATATTATCTAAACAATAAATTTTAAATCAATAATTTCAGGTGGAAAGGTATTAAAAGTATTGCTTCTTATGACCAACCATGAATTGAAATGCAGTAGCAGGAAGAGGAGAGCAGGTGCAGTAGGAGGAGGACCAGCAGCAGGAGGAGGGCCAGCAGGAGAAGAAGCAGGAGGAGGAGGGGCAGCTGCAAAAGGAGGAGCAGCAGCAGGAGGAGGAAGAGCAAAAGGAGCAGAAGCAAGAAGAGGAGCAGGACATCAGGACTCGAGGATTAGGAAGAGAAGCAGCGGCAGGAAGAGGAGTAGAAGAAGTTGGAGAAAGAGCAGCAACAGGAAGAGGAGTAGAAGAAGTTGGAGAAAGAGCAGCAGCAGGAGGAGGGGCAGCAGGCCGAGGAGGAGAAGGAACAACAGGAAGAGGAAATGGAGAAGCAGTAGGGAAAGGAGGGGGAGCAGCAGCAGGAAGAGCAGCAGCGGGAGAAGCAGCAAGAGGAGGGGTAGTCGGAGGAAGGAGCAGCAGGAGGAGGAGCAGCAAGAGGAGGAGCAGACAGAGGAGGAGGAGCAGACAGAGGAGGAGGAGCAGCAGGAAAAGGACCAGCAAGAGGAGGAGTAGGAGGAGAACAAGCAGTAGGACAAGGTATATATTCGTGGGCAGAATAATTATTTTTCGGGGCCCACACAGGTCGCGTACTAGCTGGCGACCTGCCATTTTGCCATGTGCCACCCTCGGCCCGTCATTTCATAATTGTAAATAATAATATTGTAGTTGTAAAAGTAATATTGTAAATGATAAATATCGCATCTGTCTTTGGAGAAGAGGGTTATTTATTCTTAAGATTATATTTTCTGTATTGAATATTTTTTAACTTGAAATTTCTGAGCGAACTAAAATATTCTTCTGCTGACAAGTGTTGTCACGTGTTTGAAATATTTTCTACTTGGAACAAATACATAACGGCCTGCCAGGTTGACTGCTGTTTTCGAAGCAAAAATGTTTCACATCTGTGTAATGACTGGTAACATAAAAGCAGCTACAGCAATTGAAGATTTACCGAAAACACTCGCGATTTAGTCCATTGACGGTTATCGCGACTGCAGTTAAAATTGCAGGAAAGGAGAATAACGTGTACGAAGTAAAAAGGAAGTATTGTAATCGCGAAAATATTCAGGCAGCATATTTCAACGGAAATATCCATTTCGACCACTTTCGAATGCAATTTAACGATGCTTTTCGTGAATCTGTACGTAAGGACAGAATAAAAGACGCTTTTCCTCCAAAAAAATTATAAACTGCTTTAAAATGAATTCTGAAGAGAATTTTTTGTGGCGACTGTACGTACGTACGTATCTCGCATACGTACGTGTACGTGTACGTATACGTGTACGTACGTATATCGCATAACTCAAAAACGAGTAGCCTCAGAACGTTGAAATTTTGTATATAGGACTACTATAACATGTAGATGTGCACCTCGTTTAGTGATCTCAGTTTCTTTACTCTTATATGTTTGTAAATCGTACATTTTTGTTTTAAAAATGATTAAAATATGTTGTTCTTATCTTCCGGTCAAGGGTGTTATGCCTTTAGTAAATCTGTATGCAATATTTTTAGAATTATCAACAATTTTAAAGTTGTTTAAGTCCCCCTAAGCCTAATATTTTTTTTGATGGCGGTCCAGAGAGACTAAGCTTCGCAACAACAAAGATAACGACTTCATTTGTAACTGCGAATTAAATCATGCTTAATCCTTTCTGGAAAGTTTTCGAGGAAATAAGTGTATAAGATTTACTTCGTAATTTTTAATGCAGAAATTTTGAGTTTTTATGTGTTTTTGCCTTGTCGCGAAGTGAAAACTGAATTAATTGAATGAGAAATACTCAATCGTCTGTGGAAAATGTTTCTTTTTTGTTTTTGTTTGCTTAATTTCTTTTATACGTCGTTCTAGTTTATTATAGTATTTGAATAGAACATGTGGCAACAATTAGATAATTCTTTAAATGATATAAATTTTGTGCATTCTGAGTTATAAAATGAACGAAATATAATACTGTTAAGTGAACCTAGCGCCAGAGTGTCAGTATGGTAAACAAATAGAGTGAATTTTAAAGAATTCATTTATTCTATTGTGGTTTATGCGCTGTCGGTGAAGTAGATTTAATTGAATCCAATAAGTTTAAACGAAATGCAAGAAAAAATGCGTATAATTTAGTATTCCGTACAAGGAAGTCATGTGGTGCACACATCAGACTTTTTTGCTTTCTTACATGTTCTTAAATTGCGTATTTTTTGTTTAAAAAAAGATTGAATTATGTTTTTCGTATCTTCCGGTTTTTATGCCTTTAGTTAATCTCCATGTGAGAGTTGTAGAATTATTAGCAGTTTTAAAGTTGTGTAAGTGCGGCTGAGCCAAATTTTTTTTTACCGTAGCAGTTATATTTGTTTACATGTTAAACTTAGATCAAGTCAGTTTATGCCTCTTCGGTATCTTTTTCTCGTATGGGACCAAAAGTAAACTTTCATTTTTGTGCACTGAAAAATCTGCCTTCCTTCTCGCTGGCCGAATGGCTTGTTTTTCCGTAGATACACTAATTGTAAAAAGTTTTCTTTTGAACTGTATTTGGCGTTTTAAATTTTTCTATACATTTCAACTCTCCTCACACTCTCCTTATATCTTATTCAAATTTACAATCACTAATAAAATACATTTTATTAATCCACTCAAGTTCAAATACATTTTTTTAAACTTATAGTGGATGACACTTGATGTTAATATGGTATTTTCACATATTAAATTCAATTCCTATTTATTTATTCCTGTTTATAAATAATGTTAATAATTAATATTAATAATAATGATGTTAATAATTATAAATTAATACTGTTAATAATAAATGTTCATAATGTTCATAAAAAGAAACTAAAATAAAATGTTTCTGTGTTGACCTAAGTAGGAACTGACTTAAAAAAATTTTTACATTACTTATTAATAAGGATATTTTGAGGTTTTATATGTTTTTGCCTTGCCGCGAAGCGAGAACAGAATTACTTGAATGAGAAATCTACTTCTATTGAAATTCGAGGAGATAACGTTAAAAGAAATGCAGGAAAAAAAAATGCGTATAATTTAATATTCCGTACAGAGAAGTCATGAGTTTGTAGACATCAGATTTTTTAAGTGAGGGGAAAAAGGTATAACAAATAGTTTATTTTCTATTTTCTGTTGAATTTATCTCTCGTAAATCTAATTTGCGTCTAATTTGTAGAAATTAATTCATACCAGGAACAAACAAATTCTGCAAGTCTGCATTTCAGAAAATGCTAATTTTAGTAGAAACAGCTCGACCTTAAAATCTGCATACAGAGACTTAATTAATGTTTAACTCTGTCAGAAGAGATCTTTACTTCTTCATTTATCAATGCTTAGGGATGAATGGTAGTTGCTATTTGACAGTCCGAACCTTTTCACGAGTTCGGAATGTGCTATAGCTAATTAAATTTTAGAGTCCTTACTCAAACGATGTTGTTTCGTGTATGTCGTAGGGTAATGACAAGGATGTCCTTTTAATATCTTTAATTGCAAGTGCTTTCATTAGCTTCAGCTCTTAATGAAATTATTCCGAGTTTTAAATTTAGGAAAATAAAATATTGGTTCCCTACCTCTGCTGCCAAATGCAAATATATAGACATAAGCTCATAAACTGTGCATGCGTTTTTAACATTCTGAAAGAAAAGAAAAATGCTGGGATGACTGGGAGCTTAGTTTATCAGTCTATATAATGAATGCTGTTAAAATAATTATAAAAAAATCTGAATATTTTCAGATTTTTATATTACGCTCAAAGGGGCTTTTTTTAACGTTTTGTGTGTTACCTTTATTTATTAAATATCCTGTTTTTCACACTTAAACCATAAAATTCATTTCAACAGCAATATTGTAAAATTATTTAAAAAGAAAGCATATCTTTAGAATTTCCCATGCACAGTCTCACGAGCTGGCGATAAAAATGCTTTTATTTTCGTACAGTGTTGCCATTGCTCGCTTTGAAATGGTCGAGATTCTTAATCAAAAACTCATAAATACTTTACAAAATATGAGATTCCGGATACCAAATTTGTGTTTCAGGATGCCCATATATTCGGGGGGAGACGAACGTGATTCAAACTTGGATGTCTAACACCGTTTACAGCGAAACACCATAAAATGCCAAAACGAAATTAAGAACCGCGAGCTCAGCGGTAACAGAGAAAAAAACATTAACAAACTCTCTGATGCGAAGTTACAATCTAAATCCTTTCAGACCTTTCTGCCTCTTTTTTAATAGTACCTTCTTGTTTTGAGTGCTGTGTTATTTTATATAGACAAATAAACTTGTCTTCAAATTAAATTACTTCAAAACATAGTTAAATTATTAAATGCCAGTTTTTATTAATTATAACATATTTTATTCTCCTTTCCTGCAATTTTAATTGCAGTCACGATAACCGTCGGTAAATGTTCCATTTCTGTAGCTGCTTTTATATTACCAGTGATGATACAGATGTCAAACATTTTTGCTTCGAAAACAGCAGTCAACCTAGCAAACAAGCCATTATGTTGTTCTTCCAACGCGAAAATATTTCAACCACGTGGCATCAGTTGCAACCAGAAGAATAGTTTGGTTCTCTCATAAATTTTAAGCTAAAAAATATTCAATACAGAAAATACAACCTTAAGAATAAATAACGCTCTTCTCCAAAGGGAGATGCGATGCTTATCATTTACAATATTACAATATTACCTTTATAACTAATAGCGTTGCGCGCCTCCAACTTGCACGCAACCAAGAGGTGACTGTGAAAACTGGATAAAAGACAGAGTCTTGTTAAGGGTTTATGTCCCTTTTTATTCAACGTAATAAATTACAAGTGCGTGCTCTTGACGCTCACAAACTGCGCCAACTCGGCGGTCAAAATAAAAATAATAACCTGAAAAGAAGCTAAAGACAAGACTCTAACTACGAGGCTCTCTAAAAGTAACTAACTCACCGCGTTTTACAATACCGCTGCTAATTCAGCAAACTTGTAGATCACTTGAACGATTAACACTACTTCCAGGCAAGCACACTGGCCGAAACGCGGGGTTCTTCAATTTCTGGCCAACTACCTCCGCGCTCGTGAAGTAAGACTATCACACACTCGAACTCGTTTCCTTTCTATTTAAATCAGAATACTTCCGCTGATAATTTGAATCCTTGCGCGTTCTACTAAAAATTTACATACTCTGGCATTGGCAGTTCTAGGGGAAAGTAAGGCTTGACAGGAAAGTAGTTTAAACGTAAAATAAATGTTAGTTAAAATAAATATAAACCCTACAAACTACAATATTATTATTTACAATTATGGAATGGGGGGCCGAGGGTGGCACATAGCAAAATAGCAGGTAGCAAACGGCACTTCGCCAACGGCTTCTCCTCCTGCTTTTCCTCTTACTGCTGCTCCTGCTGTTTCTTCTCTTGCTCCTTCTCCTGCTGCTCCTCCTCTTTCTGTTTCTCCTCATGCTTGCCCCTCTTGCTGCTCCTTTTGTTGCCTAAGGAGGAGCAATAGGAGAAGCAGCAGCAAGAGAATGAGCAGCA